GCAAGACACATGACATTATATACCCAAGGATACACACCTAGAGAGTGAGCAGATATCAGACTGGTCCAATGAGCACAGAGAGAGTAGCATGGAGAACAGAGTGGTTATTATGATAAATGAAGGAAAAAACAACGCTCAACAGTTTTACTTAGGAACCTGAGATCAGACCTGCCTGGCACTGAGACTAGACCAGTGTACCTTTTATAGGGTCATGAGCATAAAGGGGCCTGTGAAAGGAAAAGCTCAAAATAAGACTTCGGAGGGGGAGAGTTCAGTGGAAAGGGGTTGTGGCTGCCTGCTAGGGACAGGTCTGAGAAAATACAGGGAGAGCTTCACTGTATGTGGGGAAGCCTGCCACTTGGCCTGGAGAGGAGATGATAGGAAGCTGAGTACAGATCTCCTGGCTCATCTCTTATTGCTGACTGGTTTCCAGAGGTGAGCATTGTGAAGGTGCCTCCCTGTCATTTCTCCTAACAAGCTGACATCACCACCATTACCACTGCCACCACTATTTAACCCTTCATTGATGTATTATTTTGCAATTAATAAGGGCCTTTTGCAAGACTTTATCAAAGCACGTTACAAAATTGATAGCATTTTAGTCTCCAAGAACGAGAAACCAGAGAAAATACTGATGATTTCTTTCAAGGTCCCCAGCTGGTTTCTTGAGGTGGTAAATCTAAAGCCTAGGAAGGCTGAATTTCACCCCCCCTTCATGAGCCCTTCCCCTGTGCACTCATCCAGCCCCTCACCCTGAGTTTTGGCCTGCCCAGCTACTACAGCTGGGTGCTCTGCCCAGAGAAGGGTCTTTCTTGTCCTGTTAATTATTCCCAAAGCTCCTGCCCTGAGGAATTCAGAACATGCTCTGGTTATTTGTAGAGCGCTTTGTTTCTGGGAGAGGGGCTCACACAGCTTGGAAAAAGCAGCACTTGCCTACACAGACAGTGCTGCCCCTGCTATTAATATCCTAGCGCGATCGCTTAATGATGCTGTGGAGTGTGGCTTACCATGGCCACAGGACCTCTCAGCCACAAAGATTGTATTATTTTACACCAGCCCTGCTAATCCCCAGTGCCAAGCCTTTTGTCCCACCTTCTTGTCCTCTGTAGACAGTGGAGGAGGAGAGTGAGCCCTTGTATGAATCTGCACTCGCCTGTCCTTACCATGGGAGGTAAGGACAAATGGAGGCTGAAGTCTCAAAATAATATTTGATTAGCACTCCCCCTTCCTCCCCTCAAGCATCTCAAGAATTTTGCATTTGTTGTCTTCTCCATCTTATAGTTATCCTTGTTCACAGGGAGAGGATAAACATTTCAAATGTACTTATTCACTCTTGACACATGTAATGAGCATTACCTTTTGGCTAAACCATCCCAGGCTCTGACCTGGGATGAGTAGAGATATAAGAATAGCAGAGCTCATCCCTAAAGCTCACAGCTTGATGGAAAAAGACTGTTATGTCACAGTACGATTGGTACTGTCACAAAATTACGCAGAAGGGGTATCACCACACCCAGGAAGAAGTGGTCAATTCCTTGCAGAGATAAACTTAAGGAGATGTCACAGAAGAGAAGGGATTGTGGTGGGTCTTAGAGGAAGAGAAGTTTAGCAGTACAAAGAAGGAAGGACACATGCCAGAGCAGGCAGTCAGAGACTAGCCTGGGAGCCAAGGGACAGCATTTAGGAACATGCAGAGAATAGAGGACAGTGTGAGATAGTTTGGGGAAGCAGAGAGATGAACACTTTGTCAGGTCAAATGTTTTGGGGCCTCGGTTTCCAAAAATAAGGTATTGATTAGTCCATCCAAGTATTTTTTCATGAGGTGACACTGTCAGCCATGTGTCCTCTTGGGCGCTCATACCTTGTAGATGTATGCTTTAAAGGCACTGTGAGGGCCCTCGAGCTCTTTCCTGCTGTCTATGCACTAAGGTAGCAATCTCAGGACACAGGAGACTCTGCTTTGAGATACCACATGCAGGGATCTCACACGAATTACAGCCAAGGCAGAAATGATAAAAGGGAAGATCATGGAAATCTGCGGATTGTCACCCAAACCAATTGTCATATGCTCAAGGATATAGAAAGTAGAAAGAGGAGAAAGGGGTCCCCCAGCTGTGACTCCAGATTTGGGGGCTTGTCTGTTCATTTCTCAAATTTAGGAACCCACTGACTCATATAATATAAATTATTCAGTTGTACTCAAACCCTGACCCTTTGTTCCAACAAAGATTTAAAGGCCCAAGGCACCCCAAAAATTAGAGCATAAGATGTCATTAGCCAACGCTCAATCTTCACAGCTCCCAGAACTAATTATAGAGCTAGGAGTGGCTGGGGCCAGACCCCTCCGATATAAAAAGATTTTATGAAAGGCAAAGGGGGGAGGCAACACTAATTCTCACCCTATTATATTCCTTTCAATTATTTACAGTAATAGACACTGATGGTGAACAAATATAGAGCCTGGAATCCAGTGAGGTCACATGGGCGTTCTGTAAGCCAGTGATGCCGTATTGGAATCTGGGAACACAGCGAACAATGTTCCAGCTGCCCTTGCATTCTTTACCTCCCATTGTCTTCTGTCTCTTTGCCCTCATTCCCCACCAAAGTCAAGAGCACTGAACCCATGGTGGGCATGCCAAGGTTTAGCTCACATTCAGGACTAGTAAATATCTGCTTTCCATCAAGGGTTTTAATAGCACCTTCACTTTTATTCTCTTAATCAAGCACAATAGGAATGGAATGGTGGGGTCCAGAGGTAACAGTGGAAAGATGCTAGTGGGTGATATATCTGGGTGTCATCTGACTGGCTGCTGGGAAGCAACTGAACAAAAGCTCTGTATCCCAATAACCCACGTGCTCTCTTATATTTCTGACAGATTTCTAGTTACCAAAATATAAGCAATAATATAAGCTCCCTAGAATCTTATCCATTAAAAATTCCTGCAAAATCCTTGCTCTTCTTGCCTCTGTCATTTACAACCTGATGTGTCGCATGTACCAGACTATAGAGGTGCAAGATGGAGAAGACTCTTAGCGCCTGAGATATCAGACTTTGATGTAAGCAACAAATAGTTTCAATCATGCTAAGCTACATATATATATAGCTTGCTAAATGTGACAGTAGGCACAGCTTTTTCGAAAATATAAACTTCTTATAGCATGGACCGTACTCCCTGAGTACTGTCAGGACAAAGGAACAGGTCTACTCTTTGGCTTGACTGGGTTACTGATATTCCAGGACTCCTCTTGGTCTGCAGGGTGGAATAGAGGTCACAGTATGCAAGTGCCTGCTTGTGGGCAGGCACCACACTGTTGTCAGAGTCTTGAAGTAGGAAGAATTTAATTCTCAGGAAAGATAAGGACAGGGAAATTCTTCTGGGTCCCCATAAGACTCCTTGCAGGTCTGTGCACAGGAAGCAGTGCATTACATGGCACTGAACATTGGAAATAATTTCAAGGCTCTTCAGGATTCAGGGCTATTTGTACATGTACAGGTATACACAAACATGCATACAATATAACATTTTCTCTATGCAGCAATCTTGTCATGTGGGAAACTCCTGATAGAAAATTTAATGGCAAGTCCTGATAACTTGGCAATTATGAGTTGGGTCTGTATTGTTGGGTGGGACCAGAACCTAGGTGAAAACATTCTTTTCTTTCTGGAAATCCTTTTCTATGCCCTCCCTCCTTTTTTACTATCATTTCCAAAAGCTTCCATATCTGAACCTAAGTCCCTAACAACTTTCTGTCTTTTCGTCTTATGCTCTTCCAGAAAAGGGCACATACAGTGTTTCAAAAAACAAGACTCTCATGATTGCAGGCTGGCAGGACAGCCAGGGCAAGTAACCAGATGACTCTGATGTGAGAGCATCCCAGCATTAGGACCTCCTTCAAATCAGGCATCTGATGGTTTTTATCATCTCAGTCACTGAGGCAGAAAATCAGAAAAAGAGAAGAGCCCCAGAGACTGCTCTATTTTACGCTTCAAAGCAGTGGATCAGGATTCATTAAGTCCCAGAGAATGCACGAGAGATGAATACAGAGGGTTTTCTAGCCACTGTCTTGTGATAGAACCTTAACCTGGCATTCATAACCTTCAAAATCTCTATGCACCCTACCATTCCAGTCCTCAGTTTCCCATTCTCTTTCCCCTATTTTAGCCCTATTCCTACAGGAGATATTTCTTATATCTGACACCATCTCCTACAAGGTCTCAGTACCTCTCTTGAAGTAGAGAAATTCTACAAATCCTTCAGGATGTATTGCAGCTTCCAGCCCTTTGGGAAAGCTTCCCAGTTCAACCCAATATGGTCTCTCTCAGTTTAAAAAGCCCTAGTACTTTGAACCTTTTGCCTACAATTAGCACATTCTGTATCGTATTAGTTATTGAAGAACTGTTTGTTTTGCACTCCTGGGAAGCAAGGTCTTGACAGTAGGCATCCTGCATTATTCACTGTTATATCTTGCATGGCGCATGTCTGTCTATGCAGGTTAGTTGCCCTATAAAAATACAGGTCATTGAATTGAATATAGGGCAGCCTCACATTAAAGCTTAACTAGGCTGATATCTGAAGTGGGGATCAAGAGTTGATTGGATTTTCTTGAACCCTGATCAGGTAAGTCTATAAAGAATAGCTTTTCTTGGAAAATTAAGGAGTGGGGGGTTGTGTCAAGTGATTCAAAAATATATGAGTATCTACCTCGTTTCAGGGCTTAGTCAAAGGTTTTCCACCCATGAAAAGGGTCTGGAAGCATTTTTTGCAGAAGGATAAGGTGCAAGGCTATGGGTCAGGAGGTTGCTCAGGAAAGAAGTATACTCCACATTTACCAACTGTTTGTCTTTTCACTGATGAGGAATCTCCACTAGAAAATGACACCAGCGTGTGTCACTGAGGTTCCTCAGCTCTCAGGCCTGCTGGTGCCGCCCAGACTCTTTGATCGTCTGCTTCCATTGTCTCCTGAAACCAATCCTTTCCATTTGGTATTTTTCCTACTAGATCACCTGATACCTGCAAGCAACCAGGTGTTCCTTTCAGAAACCAGAAGGCGATAACCCAGGCATTTGGATCCATACACCAGCCTGTGTTCTTTGCAGTGGAGGCCTTAGGAAGGAGAGTCTCCCCAATGGCAGGTGGGAGCCAACTCTTTCTTTCAAATTTGTTCATCAGTAAACAAAAGAGAATGCCAAAAATCTTAGAATCACTTGAAGCACTACTGGATAAGTGAATAACTTTGCAATTCATTTCAAAATAACATCTTATTTCAGTGGGCAAGGTTTAAAAACCAGGTTTTAATCTTTTAAAAAAGGAAATACAATTCATACTATTACTTCGTAGACCTTAAGTGAATAACTGTGTTCACAGCTTTATTATAAATTCCTTGGGACAAAATCTATGACATATGTCTTTCATACCTCACATTATGTTTACATCCTAATTGAAAATATTATAAGTGCATATACCTTGTGGATTTGTTGTATCTTTAGCTGATTCTGAATGAGACATTTTTTTGATTCTATATTTAAATGATCTCTTTCTCTAATTAAAACAGCCAACTCAAAATAGTTGCTCGGTATTTCTTTACTCATTGTGGAAAGTTCAGTAGAGTAGTAGGCATGCTGTCATTTTCCAGATACTTTGGGATCAAGAGTTTGGAATCCAGGCGAGAAAGTAGAAGGGATTCATTCTCCAGATCCATCTAGTGATCCAGAGTCAGTAACCTCTTACCTGCGGAAGAAACTTCTCGGAAATATAGTAGACATTAGCCCCATCATACATGAATCCACTGAATGCATCAATTGATAAGATGTTTGGGGTTACTTAGAATTGGGAGTTTCCTAAATCCACTTGATCTCAGCTGTGTTTCCTATATTTAAGGGAGTATATTACTGGAGCATTTTAAGGCCCTTCATCCTGTTTCAAGGAATAAACTTAAAACAACTCTGCACAGAGTCAGCTCCTGAGGATAAGGATATAGGCTGAGACAAAGGGGACCAGTGATCTGTGGCCAGGCTGGTCCTCAGGACCAGCTCATGATATTCTACTGCACCTTAACTAGTCTTTCATGTCATCCAGAACACAGAGGACTTCCTGAGGCTTGAGCAGTCCTATCTTCAACCAAGGTGGACACACATGATCTGAGTCAGCGGGTGATGGCCTGTTTAGACATCTTAGATCGTGGATAAGGATCTGGTGTGAGTCAGTCTTCATGCTTTGAGACAAATGTCACGTTTACACAGAGGGTCTAAGAGTCTTCTAGAATGCCAAGATCCAGGAAAACTGTACACAAATACTTTATCTAGCTGACTAATGATACCACCCTGAGGCCAAAGGCAATAATGCTTCTGCAACTTTAAATTTGTGCATCTTTACAGTCTATTTTGTGATCTGTTTAAATGATGAGCATTGGCATTTAAAACACTTTTAAGGTTTGATGTACAGATGATAAAACCAACTGAGAGTGCAACAAGAACACCAAAGTGCATCTTTGCTGATATACTATGAGGGCTTGATCTTCCCCTCAATAAACACAGTGAAATACATAACCTAGGATTTTCCTCAAGCTTGAAGAAGCAAAGAATTTAGGATCAGAACACCTGAGTTTAGATTCATTTGCTTATTAATTGTGTGATTTTGATCAAATTACTTATGCTTCTCAAGTTTGTTTGAAGAACCTAATACCTACTTCACAGGGGTGTAAGGGTGTAATGGGATAATGTATGTGTAAGTGCTTTGGAAATAGGAAAGAATGATAGAAATGTGCCTTCCCAGTGTTTTATTCACAGTGCTCCTGCCTGGCTGCATCTACTTAACCCACTCTCCAAGAGCTAGAATCAGATTTCAGCCGTATGGAATTATCCACAATGTGGCAGATGGGTTTACAAGTGTCTTGGTCTCTTCTTGTAATTAACAGCCAAGAAGTCTAAAGCTTGCATTGTTTACATGGAAAATGTTTCTTGCTCTTCTCTTGCCCGTTCCCACGTCATACCATCTGAAATTGTTACCTTTTTTATCTTCTCAGTGTGCTTCTTTAATTTTGTGGGATCCTCTGCATATAAACTCCATTCGACTCTTTTCTCCTACTCTGGATGGCTATTTTTCTATGAGTTTAGCTATAGGACTTAAAAAAGTTTTTTTTTTTCATATTTGCTGCCTGAATTACATTTCACAAAGTCCTCCCAAGTGTGAAAGGTGGGTATCACCATTCCTATCCCAAGTGAGGAAGTAGAGGCACAAGGAGGCTTAGCTTATCTGGCTCATAGTCTGCAGCCCCTCTCTTTTTGCCACATTGTCTTTTCTGCAAAGAAGAGAGCTGCCCAGGGTCAGAGACAAACCCGAGGAGGATGTCCATCTCACAGTGGGATGGCAAAGCCTCAGACATAGAGAGGGATTTAACAGGCTCCCCAAGACCATGACAGTAGTGTCATTATTCTGTTCAGTACTCAGAAGGCTCTATTTGGAGTTACTTCTACATGTGTGTTCTGCATTGTGCTGGTGAGATGGGAGACACAAAAAGAATCTGAGATTGTCTCCGGTTTTTAGGAGCATGCAGAGGAATTGGGAAAATATGGTTAGTATATAAACCTTAATAACTACAAAGTCCTTTCTAGTGAGGAGCCCTCTCTCCACACTGAAACTTCCTGAGATGGTTTCACTGCTCAGGATATAGAAGCATGTATGTTAAAGTGTGTATGATAGATAACCATACTACTAAGTTTTTGTTAGTTCATCATACATAATAGTTTGTTTTGTCGTTGTTTGTCTATTCATTTTTTATGCTTTGATTTTATAACTTGAACATCTACTTCTAAGAACAATATGTAATATGTCAATTAGTGGTGATTTCTTAATGTTATTTTTTTGAAATTCTGTATCATTTGTACCCATTTTACTGTCTTCATTTTTTAAATAAAAAAAAATAAAAAATAATAAATGCCAGGCTTACCAAAAAAGATACAGAAGTGTAATTTGCAGGCAACTCAGGTTCAAGCTCTTCTTAAGTGATCATGCCCTAAATTCCCATAATGACTCCCATTATTTCAATTCATGCAAGAAGGTTTTCCTCATGTTTTTTATGAGAATGTAAAGATATATTAGTCAGCTTTCCATTGCTATAACAAATACCCCACATAATCAACTTATAAAGAGAACAGATTTGTTTTGCTCCTAGTTTTAGAGATTCCAGTCCATGGTTGCTTTCATGCCTGTGCTGCAGAAAGTTCCGGGTCCTTCTATGTACTTCAGGGACCCAAAGACCTCCCACTAGAAGCATGCCTTTACCACATGGACCTTGAGGAGACATCTGAGATTTGAACTATAGCAGAAGAATATGGTGCAAAAGGAACTAGAACAATTTTTGTCTTTAGTAACATTTTTCATGGGTTCTGTAACATGCTCCGTAGCCCCATCGTTTCCCTGAGTAGCTTCTCATTCTTTATTTACCTAACAGTGTAGCTCTATCTAACCTAGTAGAACCTTTATTCTCAAAGAAGAAATTAATGGTTGTAACTGTTATAATTTATGGTTGCTGAAAAAAACCTATGTGTCCTCTCCAATTTTCCTGGACATAAGGAGTAATGGTTATATCCCAGGTTCTTGGAGATGTCACATGGTACCCTGGTGGCCCCTAAAATCTAGTTGCTTAAAACAGTGCAGTCATTATGCCTGGCACCTATGCACTACCTGCACTCCACTTTCACTGTCAGAGATGTCACATCAAACCTGGGACACAGAGCAGCCTGGACTGGCATGGAGATCCATGGACATATGACAACCCTGTGCTGTTATCAATGACAAGCAGTGTCTCTCTTTCCCTAGTACTCCTTTATGCCTCCTAAGACAAAGAACTGAATTCCTGTGACTTTTTCAGCTGCGGACATCTATAACAAAGCCAACTACTCCTCAGGATAGACCAGATGGAATCAAAGTTCAGAAACACACTGAGTCCACGGCCCAATCTGAGAACAGGCCTAGGAAACAAAATGAGAGGTGTGGCCGGGCCTGGTGGCTCACGCCTGTAATCCCAGAACTCCGAAGGCTGTAGCAGGAGGATCCTTGCAAGTTCAAGACCAACCTAGGCTACAAAGTGAGCTCAAGGCCAGCCTGAACTACACAGCAAGGCCCTGTCTCAAAAAGACAAAAAAAAAAAAAAAAAAAAAAAGAGAGATGTGAAGTTTCCACAGCCTTATGAGACCGAGACTTGCAGACCTTTGACGGATGACAGCAGGTGCTGTGGGAGTACTCAGTCAAGTTGCAGGGGCCATGTGACATGGTAGTTGGAATTGGAAAGCTGGCCTTGAGACCCTCTGCATGACTTTGGACTGAGTGTTCAACTTCAGAGAGCCTCCATCTGGCCCATCTCATGGAAGGACTGTGTAGTTACAGTGTGAGTAGACACTAAATAATACAGTGATGACCCAGGTGTGGTTACACATACCTATAATTCTAACACTTAGGAAAGATGAGGCAGGAAAACCTCCAGATTGAACTCAGCCTTCATAGTTTAGCAAGACCTTGTCTCAAAATTAAAAAAAAGTGTTATCCATATAGCTCAGTATGAAGGGCCTGGGTTCAAATATAATTACAGAAAATAAAAATAAAGGTGTAATTTTTATTCCATGCTATATATGCTGATAAACCTGACCCAATAGATTTCTTTTTCAAGGGCCCACACCATGGTGTGTGTGTGTATGTGTGTGTGTGTGTGTGTGTGTGTGTGTGTGTGTGTGTGTGTTTTACCTTAAACTGTGCTTTAGGAAACTTCTTTATGCCTCTTACTGATGTGTCCTGAAAATTTTTTTTCTGTGATAAAAAAATCAGGCAATCTGTAACTGTCCCTGTAGGTATAGTAAATCAAGGTACCCCATCTCCACTTTGGCGACCTCCTAAAACTCTATTCAGTGACATTTCTTTTGGCAAAATAGTGACAAGAGTTAAAGAGGCATCAAGACTATGATTTTGATTATCAAAACATGAAGGTTCTTTGAATTACAGAACTGATATTCCTATGTCTCTTAGATCCATCAGAGTGAGATTTTTGATATCTGAGTAGGCAGGGTCAGTGCCTCCTTCCTCAGCCTGAAGCAGCTGTGGAAGAGAGAACCTTTGGACGCTCTACATCCCTTAAGAATAG